AAAATAAAATTTATCCTTCATAGTGGCTAAAAATATAGCTGAAAGCACTGGGAAAACATTTTTATATAATTTATGTCCTGAAAAGAAAAAAATTATAGGAACACATGAGAAATTATACTCGACCAACACACCTTGTCAGTTATTTTCAATGGAACTTATATATATATATGTGTGTGTGTGTGTGTGTATATATATATATATATATATTAAGAAATGGACAAAGTCCGACAATTTATTTATTAAAGACATTTTTATGTTTAACGTTCTTTTTTTTTTTTTTTTATAGATACAAGTATTTAAGTAAATGCTCTGTTTATAATAAACAGTATTAAATAACATTTACCGGAATGTCCGAGAAATTTTCATAGGATGCAAGTTCGAATCCTGTCAAAGGACGAATATTTTCTATGAAAATTTCTTGGACATTCAGGCCGGTAAATGTTATTTAATACTGTTTATTATAAACAGAGCATTTACTTAAATACTTGTATCTAAAAAAAAAAAAAAGAACGTTAAACATATATATATATATATATCATCATGATGTTTACTTTTTGACCATGAGACCTGGGTTTGATTCTCATCATGGTCGAATTTTTCAGGAAGGGGACTTCTTGATGATATTGGAATGAATCAAGGTCAATCCCAGTGTGCGGCAACTTTGGAAAGTGCCTGCAAACTATACCACTGGTTGTGGGTGAAATTAGGTAAACGGAACTCTTGGGGGTCATCGATAGCTATGCTAGCATGAAGCCACAAGTCATCATGGCCGAGGGCTTGAGCATGTTAGCCTTATTCAGATTGTTGATCATGCTAGATAGCATTTCCAGAAACTAACTAAGCATAAACCAGAGGTGGGCACTCTGGGTGTTGAGCCAATGCAAGTGTGCCTGAGGCGAGGATCTGCAACAGGGATTAGCTAGCTGCTCTAGTAGATGGGTATCCTCGAATACAAGTGGCCAGCTATTATTATTATTGATTATATATATATATATATATATATATATATATATATATATACTGGGCTCTTGTCTAGAAGATTTGTTTTTGGAATATTTCTTAGCAACTTTACTGTATGTTTTTGTTTTCTTTTTACTAAAATCAAGAATGGTCCTATTTCACATAAAGGAAGCACTTTACAGTCTATCTTTGATGTATCCAAATTGCCAGCATCATTTCTCTGCAAAAAGGAAAAACTGCATATAAATAGTAGCCAGTGTATTTTCATTTTTCCCCAAATAAATCTGCTATGTATCAACTTTATTGTTTTTAACAGTTTTTCCACTAGATCTGTTCTTTAACTTCTTTCTTTGAATCCAGTTTTTCTTAACAATTAACCATGACAAATGTAACGACCCAATTAAACCAATTTGCATTTGCACCTATATATATATATATATATATATACTAGCAGTAGAGCCTGGCGTTGCCCGGGGATGTAACAGTAAGAGATAGATCAAGTATCGACCATCATAAAGACTGAAAAATAAAATTGACAAAGATTATTGTTTAAGGTTGACGAACACGCATGTCTTAATTATTTTTTTTTTGTTTTTTTTTACGAATTGGTCAAACCCAAACTCAAACAAAAACATTGTTTTCAATCGTTATGAGTCTACCGATTGAATATAATTTTATTATAAACAATTGTCTTGTAAATGTAATTTTTAAAGCATTCTGAATGTAAAAATAAAGAAAAAAGTGTGCAAGACAATAAGAAATACTACCTGCCAAAAAAAAAAAAATGAAGTTTTGTTGAAATTGGTTGAAAAATGTAGGAAATCCGATCCCATATATAAATGAGCACACACACACACACACACACACACACACAACCTGGGTCTTATAATAAGTATAACTCAATATGAGTTGTCCCCCTTTCATTCTTGTGATGCCTCTTAATTGTGTTTTCAAATTGATTTTGTGCAAAAACAATTGTGTTTTTCCAATTTTTGGCACTGTTAGAACCACCGCAAAGTAATTTTACGTAGTCCTGTGAAGTTTTGTTGAAATCGGTTGAAAAATGTAGGAAATCAGATCAAATATATAAACGTACAGATACACACACACACACACACACACACACACACACACACACACAATCTGCATTTTATAATAAGTAAGATATATATATATATATATACTGGGCTCTCCCTCTAGAAGATTTATTTTGGTATAGCTCTCTCTCTCTCTCTCTCTCTCTCTCTCTCTCTCTCTCTCTGCGCTCACACACACATGGCCTGAAACAGACTGTTGCCACTTGGGGTTGACTCCAGTGTGCACTTTTATATTTTTATATCTACATACACTCTATCTCTGATATTGATCACTATTACCCATAAATATAGCATAACTTAAAATTGTATTTTAATATATATATATATATATATATATATATATATATATATATATATATATATATATATGCGTGTGTGTGTGCATAATGTATATTTAGGCATTAAGAATTCATCCAAACAAGTTTTGTTAAATTCAAGTAACAGAAGCTGTATTTAATTCTTTCATTGCATTTTTATAATTTTAAAATAAGATGCACAACTGAATCAAAATTGTGGATAAACTACCTGGAGTCCATATTTTATTCTGTTTTTGTTTAAGAAATGAGAATTTCAAAATACTTGGCAAAAAAAAAAACAAAAACAAACCATGACTTTTGGACAGTTTATTTCCAGTTTTATTTAGATGTATATTGTTTTTAAAAATTGGAAAAATACAATAAAACGTGCTTGATTTGGCATCCTCATCTTTTTATTTTCTTAAACAATGAAATTAATGTTAATCAGCCTAGATCCAGAAGTCTGGCTAAAGAAAAGCATGCTTCCTGACAGGAATCAAACCTGTATCCACTTTATTAAAAGAAGCCCTAATGAGAGATGTGCATTCCTGTATATAAGTAGTCTAGCTTTGATTTACCATGATGTGTTCCTATGGCCAAATTGGTAATGGCACACTTTGGTTATAGGAGTGGTTTCTCTGTTGGAAAAAATGGATACGTTTGATTGCTGTCAGGGGACACATTTTTCTTTAGTAAGACTTCTCAGTCTAAGCTGATTGATAGTAATTTCACTGTTTAAGAAACTAAAAACCAGTAATGTCAACTGAGACACATGTGCCCACTAAAAATAATGTCTATAAAAATATACAATATATCATAATAATTAATACATAATATATAATAATAATTTATACATAAAATTATATATAAATCAAAGGAAATTTATGGTACCTTGTAATTTTACAATAAAATAATGTTGAAACGGTAAAATTTCATTTCAATATAAACAATTATAATAAAAAAAAGAAAGAACCCAAAAGCCAAATGCAAATCATGAATTTACTAATTTAATGTAAGTTTGCAACTTATACTAACCTTCAAATTATAGTTATCTTTTTAAATATGTTATTTATAAAGAATAATTTTGGAGGTCATTTCTTTTTTTGCTCTTCTATATTTTGTCTAATAGTGTGTTGTTGTGATTTTTAAAGTGCTTCAACATATTGCACCTATCTTGTTTACCCATATTGCAATCATTATTATTCAGAGACAAGGAGGAATAAAAGAGAATTTACTTTTCATCTGTGCCAACTTGATCACACATAAGATACTGAGTTGCTTATTTGTGAGATCTTTCAGTAAACTGACATCATTCTCAGTTGTTTCATTTTCTTTCTATCATTTATTTCTCTTTTCTTTCTATCATTTTCGTTCTATCTTATTTCTCCCTTTTCTTTCTATCATTTTCATCCATTTTCTTTCTATCATTTTCTGTTATTTTCTACCATTTTCTTCCTATCATTTCCTACCATTTTCTTTCTATCATTTTCTATTATTTTCATTCATTTTCTTTCTATCATTTCCTACCATTTTCTTTCTATCATTTCCTACCATTTTCTTTCTATCATTTTCTATTATTTTCATTCATTTTCTTTCTATCATTTCCTACCATTTTCTTTCTATCATTTTCTATTATTTTCATTCATTTTCTTTCTATCATTTCCTACCATTTTCTTTCTATCATTTTCTATTATTTTCATTCATTTTCTTTCTATCATTTCCTACCATTTTCTTTCTATCATTTTCTATTATTTTCTTTCTATCATTTTCTATTATTTTCATTCATTTTCTTTCTATCATTTCCTACCATTTTCTTTCTATCATTTCCTACCATTTTCTTTCTATCATTTTCTATTATTTTCATTCATTTTCTTTCTATTATTTCCTACCATTTTCTTTCTATCATTTCCTACCATTTTCTTTCTATCATTTTCTATTATTTTCATTCATTTTCTTTTTTCCTACCATTTTCTTTTATCATTTCCTACCATTTTCTTTCTATCATTTTCTATTATTTTCTTTCTATCATTTTCTTTATTTTCATTCATTTTCTTTCTATCATTTCCTTTTCTTTCTATCATTTTCCATTTTCTTTTCATTTCCTATTTTCTTTCTATTATTTTCTATTCTTTCTATCATTTTCTATTATTTTCATTCATTTCTTTCTATCATTTCCTACCATTTTTTCTTTCTTCATTTCCTACCATTTTCTTTCTATTATTTTCTATTATTTTCTTTCTATCATTTTCTATTTTCATTCATTTTCTTTCTATCATTTCCTACCATTTTCTTTCTATCATTTTCTATTATTTTCTTTCTATTGTTTTCATTCGTTTTCTTTCTATCATTTTCATTCATCTTCTTTTATCATTTTCATCCATTTTCTTTCAATTTTATTTTCTTTACTTTTATCATTTTCTACTCTTCTATCAATTATTATGGTTTTCTTTTTCTTACTTTCATATTAAATCATTTTTTATTTTATTTCACTTTTAATATTTTTCCCATTATTTACTTTTCATTTTCTAATCTTTTTCACTTTCAATTCATTTTTTCTTCAATTGTTATCCTTCTTTCATTTTCCTTCTATCGTTTTCTTTCACCTTTCATTTTTGATCATTTTCTTTCTAACATTTTTTTTTGTTGATTTCCTAGTATGAAAAGGCCAACATTGATAATGTAGCTTTTGTGTCCTCTAGAAAGGAGAGAATCCTAGGAATGTTAAAAACAAAACAAGAAGAAAAACAAGGCCCCCTCCCAAAAAGTATAGCTGATATTTGAATTAACCTCATGCTGGCTAACTCTGATTTCTGTAATTTTCTTAGAGAAATCTGTTCTAAACTCTGAATTTTGGTACTTGAATATTCCAAAAGTGACATGCATGTGAGAAATGAAAATACAAAACAGATTCACATACATTGGAAATATTGTGGCTATAAATAATAATAGTAACTGGAAGATATTATCTTTTGTTTAATCCCCCAAGAACAAATCTCTTCAATGTTAAATGATTTGCCAAATGTTTCATACTACTGATAAGTTAAGCAGCTGAATTGGTGGCTATCACTACCAGCTAGAGCAATACACCAATGACTGTGGCAGTACTCATTATAGTCGTAACGTGTCTGTGATGAACTTGGGTGATGTTTCTTTCTAAAACACTCTGCGTGAAATGTCATTGTGAATGAGATAATCGCTCAATACACAAGTTCACTCAATGGCATCTCACTTCAGACTGAGTAACCTCGTGGGAGAGTGCTCACCCATTTGTAGTAAAAACCTCCTTGATGAGTTTCCGAGTTAATTCAAGTCTGCACAATTTGTGAGACATTCAAAACTGCTGGATAACTTCCTGATAGACCTTGTAATGAGTAAAAAGATATATCAAATAATATCAACAATCGTCTATATTATAAAGGAACATTTGTTTCCCTGTCTATTACACACTTTCTGTGTGTGACTTTGCAGCACATATGTAATGTAATGTATATACATATATAGATGTAATGTAATGTATATGAATTTATTTATGCAGATTGTGCGTATGAGTGCCATTTAATGTATATACAAACACATACACTCATAAAGCTGTTTTTCTTTTTTTTTCTTCTTTTTAACTTTATGATTTTATTGCTCAACCCTGGGTAGGTGTTGTCCAGACTGAATGCAAGAATGATATATTATTCCAATATATTATTTCAAACTCAGTCAAAAGATATCCATCATGTTCTTGTGGTTAAGTTTGTTACTCTCAGATGTCAAATAAATTCCCCCCCCCCCCGCTTGTTAATTTTTATCTCCACCTGAACTTATTAAGCTTGTCTTCCAGACTTAATTTGTGATCACACACAATTACCAAACTCAATAAATTGTTAGAAAAGTTTCTCTTGAAATGTACTGTAAGGAGAAACTGTTGAACTTGCAAACTTTCTTTTCATGGAATATCTCATCTTTGATTTATTTAGACTCTAATCTTTATTAACATATTTTTATTTGTAATATTGGCAAGATTTCTTTGGAATATTTTCGATTTTTGTTAAAGCATTTTACTTCAAGTGTTTTACCATAATAAACTTTTTTGATTAATACAGGGATACTTTAAGTTTATACAAAAATATTATTCGCATGGCTATCTTGTTAAAATGTAATAAAAGCTATTGTTGCTTTAAGCATCGATATTATTTGAGGGCTCAAGAGCCACTCAATATAGATAGCCCTTATATCAAATATAAACATTAAGCGATACAAAAAAGAATTTCTCCAAATTTCATAAAAATTATGTGAGTGAGGTGTAATAGTTGAAAAAAATTTTTTTTTACAAAGATTTTCTAAAAAAGACATTTCTAAAATAATTTCATTAATTTCTGAATAAATCCTGAAAGGTTCATTAAAATCCAACAATTGTATGGTTTTTGCAAGAACTTCCAAATCTATATGTTTTTCACCACACAAAAAGTGCTCAAATATACCGTACAAATTTAAGGTAAAAAAAAAACAACACAATTTTTTTAACCAAATCTTTCAATGTTTTAAAAGAAAATTACAAATATCATTTTTATATCAAAGAATTTATTATGTTCTGGGTGTTTATTTTTAACATGTATCTTTCTCGTTTGGCAAATTTTTGGCGTTACCTAAATTAATGTGTTTGATTTATTTTGTCTTATCAACATTATAACCATGATGACATCCAAAATGAATGAATGACATTTTGCATGTGCAACAAATGGAAAATATGGCTGACATGAAAACAATTTTACAAATGATACAAAGCTTATTTGGAAACACTGATGTACATTTTATTTTTAATTTCTTTTCTTCGAAGTTTCTTTAGAGTTTGAAAACTTTGTTTAATCATTTACCAACCAACCCATTTATTGAAATCCTACCATGCTTATTGCATTTTCTGGTTTAATTTTCCATCCACAGGAACATATTAGCACATTTCTCATTGTTCAGTCACCCTACTCAATAAATTGCTAGAGAAGTTTCTCTTGAAATGTACTGTAAGGAGAAACTGCTGAACTGCAAACTTTCTTTTTGTAGAATATCTTATCTTTGATTTATTTAAACTATAATCTTTATTAACATATTTTTATTTTTAACATTGGCAAGATTTCTTTGGAATATTTTCGATTTTTGTTAAAGCATTTTACTTAGATATTGATGAACATTTTATTCATACCCTGAATCCATCATAAAATTCAGGATGTGGAATAGTAAATACTAAACACTTCAAATACTTCAGCCTATAGATCAGTTATAACAAATTTAGTATCTGAGAAACGGATATTGAACATTAAATAGACTGCGCCAGAGGTATTTTTGCTCAACACAGCAAATTGTTACAAAACTAAAACATTAACCTGAAAACTCGATTCATGTTCTGAAATTGCTTCATCTGATCGATACTTTCATATGGATGCCATGCATGGTGCCAAACTCCTTCAGAAATATCTAAACTCTCAGCTGTATACAACCACTTTCTAAGATGAGTGAAGCTTACAGGGAATCAACAGTAACTGTGAGTTCAATCCCTAGGCCGAGTAGTGTTTAGTTGGACTAAGTGGAAACAGGGTGAGCAATAAATGAACAGTACTAAAAATAAGAACTAGACAAGATATCTCTAGATATGGGCAGTGGATCAAGAATAGTCTACCCCTGTGGATTAAATAAAATGTTCTGTTCGGAATTTCCTGTAGGTTACCTGGATTAACATACACCTGATGAAGGATGGAAGGCACAAGGGTTGAAACATTGTGATAACAACAACAAAGATAAGAACAGTAGTCCAAATGTATATAGTATAAATAATGATAAGTTCTTGTCCCAGAAATTCAGACAGAAATTACTCATCTGTTTGATGCCATCACCATTGAATGGAACTATATAATGAGTCTTCTTTTTATAAAAAGCTGTTTCCAAGCTTCCCCACAAAGTTTAAAGAAATCAAAGGAGAAATCTATCCCATAATAAGTTACTTTATCTATTTTTTTTCTAATTCTTGCTTATTTCTTGACCAATGATTTATTGTTAAGATTATTAATAGCTTCATATTTTGCCATTTTGAGCGGGCTCTATTTGTTTTTCTTTTTGTTCTTTTCTGGAGTGTTGTGACACCATTTTGTCCTTTATTCAATCAAGAGAAGTAGACTCTTCTAATTCCAAGGGAGATGACTCATGTTTGTTAAGTTTTGTATGACCCATTGAACCTCTTCCTCATATACTTGCTGTTGTTAACACAATGTTTCAACTTATCCTTTAGTTTTCATCAGGTCTACAACTATATCACGTTGAAACACGTGTTGAAATACAGAAGTTAAGCAATGTTGAACCTCGCCAGTAGATAGATATCTTTGGAATCTCAGGTGCTGTAAGCTTGGATGGTGCAGGTAGTGTAATAGATAACTACTCAAGAGTTGAAAAATGGAGAGCCAAGTTCTAATTCCAGTCAGGTTTGTTATATTCACTTACACACAAATATCCTGGGGAAAGGTATGAACTCTGTAATGATTAGTGGGACAAGGCTGTTACACTTGATGGTACCATAGACTATTCAAAATTTTCAACTTTCCAAAGAATACCATGATGTAGACAAAGGGATTCCACCTACCATACAGACACTACATGGTTCTTGAAAATGACTGAAATGGTTGAAAATACTTGAACAAACAACTCAGATATAAACAGTTTAGATATCAGATATCTGGACAGTTTATCGGTAATTTTGATCCCAATACACAATGCCTTATTTGAAAATTGAAAAAGTACAAAAAAAAAAATTAATTAAACAGACTTTTGTTAGTTCTTTTTTAATCAAAATTTTAATTTTAAAATAATTATTTTTTATGTGTTTTGGGTTATGTAATCTAACTGATTTTATTTAGAATCTTTTTGTTTTTAACTTTCCATCACTTGTGTTATTAAATATCCGACATTTTGATAATAGAAGAACTGACATGAATTGTGAATTATTGTAAGAACCTGGACAAAAATTTACTGTGGATAATCGAGTGATTAAAACATTTTCTAAACATTTTTGCCTCAGTAAATTGTTTTCTCATTTAATTAAAGTAGCATTTTTTAAATCAAAATTGTGATCAATCTCATTACGGTGAAAAAAAAATGACTTTAAATTTAAAATTCTCAGTGTCTCTTTCAATTGTGTGCATGTGTAGTTGAGTCAACGTAAACATAAACTTAGTCTGATGAAGTCCAAAAAGATGAAATGAGTCAAACAAAAACTTTTCTGCTTTGTCATATTCTTTCCGCTAAAAGTGTTCTTGATATATAAAAAATTTATGTCATTATCCGAGATATATATATATATATATATATATATATATATATATATATAAAATAAATTGTGTGGATATGAGTTTGTGATCCTGGGTTTTACACTTTTGCAATCATCAGAGAAACTGGTTTATTTTTAAAAATTGGATCTATTTATGCTTGTTTGGTGGTGGGAGGGCAACAAACTCATATCCAGACATTAGCTCTATCACTGATATTGAGCACTTTCCACTAAGTACCATGCATATAAAATAATATATATATATATATATATATATATATATATATATATATATATATATACAAGTATATGATTGGTGTATATGGAATAAATTCCAGTAACCAACAATT